ATTTGGTGTCTTGCTGGGAGAACAGCATATTTCTCATTTTCTGAATATCAAACATGCCACAAATTTGCAGAATGTGCCAAATTCCATCTCTCTACATAGTTACTAAACATTCTGCATAAATTTGTTTAAAATCATTCTAGAATGATTCTAGAATTCAACAATGGTTAATTTAATTATTCATTTAAAAAAAGCAAAAGAACATGCTTATTCATTTCTTATTACTTACTATTATCACTTGGTTAATATCTACAGCAAAGTGTGGAATCTTTATTTGATGCTCATTGAATTCGAGATGAATTTGTATATAATGTCAGGAAAACATATTCAAAGGATTGGTTTTGCACTCTTTATGTTTCATATTGGACTTTTAAAAGATTGAAATATAGATTCAGATCATGAATGCATCTTTTTTGTTATACTAACTCACGTATGCTGTTTACAAGCTAAAATTTTCACCTGAGCGGTAATGTGGGACTGAATTTTATACAGAGATGTTGTCTCCATTACTCTAGTTTATAAAATGGATTGTGCCTGCCTCCATGTGGCCAGGCTGCCTTGACATCAGACATCAGACATCAGATTCCTACTTAGCTCAGGGCAAGACTTCCGCTCAAGTACGGAGGAGATCCTGCTTGTGAAAGCAGCTGGACAATTAGATGGCCAGCAGCTTTCCAGACCCTGAAACACCACAAAGGTGATGGTCATTGGTGGAATCGCAAACTGTACCCAACAGCAATCGTCGATGGAGCTGGATGAAAAGGTAAGTTGGTACTTACTGACAGCCCCAATCTGGTAGACCTTGATGAGGGGTGTGGAGGAAAAGATTGGTAAGGGAGGATGAACTATTTGGCCTGCCTGTATACTGTGGGTGTGTGTGAGGCTCTCCTTTGAATTAAGGGTGCATGAACCATCTGGACACCAGCCTCCCACCTCTCGTCTTCAAATAAAATAGTATAGGGACTCCCTGCTTCTCCTGGTAAAATACCAGAGACAGTGGCAATGGAAAAAGGCCTTAAAGTGGACAGTGTCTCGTGTGGCACTGGTAAAATAACTGCAGAGGTGGATAGGTGATGACATGGTACTGTCACCATGGTACCTGATTTTGCAGCCTCTCTTCCTGCCAGCTCCTTTCAGGGAGAGTCAGTGATCCATAAAATCCCACCTTAATGTCTCCATGGAATCAGCAGTCCAGAATAGAGTAGTGTTCTCCAAATGTATGCAATTTTTATTTATATGACGCCTCTAAAACAATGAACATCCCAAAAAACTTCATGGAAAAGAAAGAGTCACCAAGCAATAAAAGGCAGTTGAAGGCAAAGTTGGTGATGGGTTTTCCAAAGGTTTCTCAAGTAAATAAAAGCTAGAATGATTGAGTGAAAAAGTTCTAGGATGTAGTGCTCAAATTACTGAAGGAAATATTGTAATTTTGGCAAATCAAAATATGCAATAAGTACTTATTCTCAGAAGGACTCATTTCAAACTCTGTTGTTACTTAATTAAAAGATATTGCAATGAAGCATAAGTGTCTAGACAGCTCACTCAATTAGCACCAGGATCCTACAAAATCTAAACCTGTATAAGTACTGTTCTGCAAATGCAGCAAAGTCCAATGATTCTTAGACAACAAGGCGCAGGGCTGGATGAACACAGCAGGCCAAGCAGCATCATAGGAGCAGAGAGGCTGACGTTTCGGGCCTAGACCCTTCATCAAAAAAGGGGGAGGGGAAGGGGGTTCTGAAATAAATAGGGAGAGAGTGGGAGGCGGATAGAAGATGGATAGAGGAGAGGATAGGTGGAGAGGAAACAAACAGGTCGAAGAGGTGGGGATGGGGCCAGTAAAGGTGAGTGTAGGTGGGGAGGTAGGGAGGGGATTGGTCAGCCTCTCTGCTCCTATGATGCTGCTTGGCCTGCTGTGTTCATCCAGCCCTGCACCTTGTTGTCTTGGATTCACCAGCATCTGCAGTTCCAACTATCTCTGATTCAATGATTCTTAACTGGTTCACATACACGAATGTCTTGAGCATCTCAGTTTCCTTCAGTCAACTGGAAAGTCTATTTGTAAGCTAGCAAGGAGAGTGAGTGTGCTTGTCTGAAGAAATGAATTGTACTGATAGTGTCGCAAGTTTCCTCCCAGGGTTGCAGTGAGAGATAAAAGAAAGACAGATATCTCCAAGAGGCAAAACCACACAATGAATGAATTTGGAACTTTCTGGTCCAAGTTAAGGAACAGAAGCAGCCAATCGAAACAATAAAAAAGTTAGCAAAAATAACTACTGCCCAGTCATGCCAAGACAACCCACAGACAAATAGTGAGTGTGATTCTGCATTTGACCCAACCAGGGGTGCACTGACAGTGAAGAACAAGTAAGGAGACGAGGAGGGGATGAGGCTGGCAATATCTGACTGATGAGATCTGATACAAAGATCACCATTTCCAGTACATGCTATGCGTTTATTTCTTTTTGTTTGCATTATAACTATGAGACCAAAGGAAATCAATTTGCATAAAGTGAGAAACATCTGATGGGCAATGGCAGTGGTGAGATGGAGAAAGGCAGAAGGGGGAGGAGTTTCCTATTGTGATATATGCTTTACATTAGCTTCCATCATCACTGTTACTACTGTTGAATAACCTCAATAACTTTACACGATTCACATCGCAATTGTGCCAGCAGGGACCAACAGTGACTACCATTAATCTGGTTGGTGCCTCATGCCAATATGCATGACTTCTTGCTTTTTGACAATATGAAGATGGAGGCTGTTACTGGGTGTAAGGCTTGTGTACATTTTTTATAGGATAGCATTTTTACTTTGTGTATTTTTTTTGCACACCAGTAACAAGATCTTCAAGCAGCTATTGTAATAGTACTGTCAGAAATTCCATTTGACCAGATTGTCTAGTCTGATACAATTCTGTTTGGTGGGATTTTACTGTGTTCAAATTATCTGTTGGCTTTCCTACATTCTAACACTGACTTGGTTTCAGAGTATTTTGTTAGCTGTAAAGTATGCCGAAGATCGTTAGAAAGGAAAAAAATGCCACATAAATGTAAATCTTCCTTTACACTCTCTTCAGATTCACCCAACACTTTTTATCCTTTATGACGAGATCTCCAGATTCATCAATCATGAGTCTCATTCAGCAATGGATTGGAATTGTCTATCAGATCAAGGCACAGGAGGTCTTGTGGCACAATGCCTCCTTACCCTACTGATGATGCAGGTTTGGTGCCATGGGTCAGACCTGCCTTTGGACACAGAACTCAAGAAAGAGGTCAGATCATTTTGTCAACAGGAGAGCTCAATAGAGAGGGAATAGCCATTCCAAGAAGAATAGGTGAAGAAAGGGCGCATCTCATGTTTTCACCAAATTGGTAGCAAATCCAAAAATGGACTTTTATAAAGAAATAATAGAAGAAAGAAGAATCAAGTAGTATTAAAGATATGTTTTGTGCATGCATGTGGAAACAGGTTATGGCACAGCACTTCAGTGCTGTTGAGTTTAGTATTATTTGTGATTCATAAAATATGGTCCAAATTGAATGGAGAATTCTTGATCTTAACCAGATTATCATTTTAAAGCATTTTTTGCAATATTGAATCATATGTACTCCAGCCATGCATATAGTAGATACTATTCAAAATAGGAACAAAGTAATCAGCCACTAGAACAGGAATCAGCATAATTTTGGCCATTGCATGTTCACCATAAAATAAGGCTCATCCAGATAAGGCATGTATCTTGTTTAAGTATGAAGAGAAGGAGGTTGTAAAAATGAATAGTGTAGACCATCACACAGATTTTCTAAACTTGTATTGAAACTATTTTCACATATGCTATTAATATTGGTAATAGAGTTTAGTTTTTTAAAAAATTACCTATGGTGGTTATCACAGTCCCAGCAAAGAAAAAGGCACTACCGAGTTCCCAGTGACTTGTATTGTTAGCTGAATTATCTACAGGATTCACTCCAGCCCCAAGAGCCTCAATTGCATGCTGGAAGGAAATAGGTGTACATTAATAAATTATACTTTCAGAAAAAATCACAATAAAGCAATAGAAACATTGTTGGTGAATACACTGATCTATAGCTTTAAACAGGAGTTCACAATACAATGTGTAACTCATGTACAGCACACAAGCAATAGTTTCCTGACCTATAAAGCTGTATGAAAACATTGTATTACATTTTCACACATATGCAGCTGACACCCAACTCTAGCTCACCATCACGTCTCTTGATTCCCCCACTGTTCCTAATTTATCAGACTGCTTATCAGATATCCAGTATTAGATGATCAAAGATTTTTTTCAAATTAAAAACTGGAAAGACTGAAGCTGTTTTTCTCTGTTCCCACTCCAACTCCATTCCCTAACTACTGATGCCATTCCTCTTCCTGTAACAGTCTGAGATTAAAACAGTGTGTTCAGAACCCTTGTGCTTGACTATTAATCAATAAACTCAACTAATGTTCTGGGGACCCGGATTCAAATCCAACCCGGAATTTAAACTTGATAAAAATATTCTGGAATTAAGAATCTACTAATAATCATGAAACTATTTAGGTGTACAAAATGATCAGAGGTATAGATAGAGTGGACAGCCAGAGACATTTTCTTAGGGTGGAGGTAGTTATTACGAGAGGGCATAGTTTTAAGGTAGTGGAGGTAGATATAGGGGAGATGTCAGAGGTAGGTTCTTTACTCAGAGAGTGGTAGGGGCATGGAATGCATTGCCAGAGAGGGTAGTGGAGTCGGCCTCATTAGAGGCATTTAAACGGCTATTAGACAGGCATATGGATGACAGTATAAGTAGGGGTGGAGGTTAGAAAGACCTTAGGTTTAGGGTAAAAGTTCGGCACAACATCGTGGGCCAAAGGGTCTGTACTGTGCTGTACTGTTCTATGTTCTATGTTCTATTGCTAATTGTTAGAAAAACCCCACTGGCTTACTAATGTCTTTCAGGGAAAGAAACCTGCCATCCTCACCCGGTCTGGCCCATATGTGACTCCAGAGCCACAGCAATGTGTTGACCCTCAATTGTTCTCCGAAATGGCCTAGCAAGCCACTCAGTTGCATCAATTGCTACAAAGTCTCAACAAAGAAATGAAACTGGACAGACCACCTGGCATCAACCTAGACCCCAGGAAAAGACAACAGCAGAAACAAGCCCATCAATCCTGCAAAGTGCTCCTTACTAACATCTGGGAGCTAGATGGGGCCTGATACAGTCATACTCATAGAATCATACCTTACAGACAACGCCACATCACCAACCCTGGATATGTCTTGCCCAACCAGCAGGTAAGACCCAGTAGAGGTGGTGGTACAGTGATATACAATTGGGAGGGAGTTGTCCTGGGAATTCTCAACATTGACACTGAGCCCCATGTAGTCTCATGGCTTTAGGTTAAACATGGAAAAGGAAATCTCTTGCTGGTTATGACGTACCTCGCTTGGGTGATGAATCAGCTCCTCTACCCAAGCTTTCCCAGTACAGTTCTGACATCTACCCAAAAATGGGAATCAATGGGTATTACAGGTCAAACTCTCTACTGGTTGGAGTCATACCTGGCACATAGGAAGATGGTTGTGTCATTGGAAGTCAGCTATCTCAGCTCCAGGACACCTCTGCAGGAGTTCTTCAGGGAAGCGTCATAGGTCCAACCATCTCAGCTGCTTTATCAGTGATCTTCCTTCCATCATAAGTGGGGATAGTCACCAATAATTACACGATGGGGAAACCATTTATCAGAAACTCAACTGGATCATCACATAAACACTGAGGCTACAAGAGCAAGTCAGAGCCTAGGAATACTGTGGCAAGTGACTCACTTCCTGACTCCTCAAAGCCTATCCATTATCTACAAGGCACATATCAGGAGTGTGATGGAATACTCCCCACTTGCCTGGGTGGGTGCAGCTCCAAAAACCCTCAAGAAGCTTGACCCCATCCAGGACAAAGCAGCCCACTTGACTGGCACTACTTCCAAAAGCAGCCATTCCTTCCACTATTAATGCTCAGTAGCAGCAGTGTGTGCTACCTTCAAGATGCACTGCAGAAATTCACCAAAGATCCTTAGACAGCACCTTCCAAACCCACAACCACTTCCATCTATAAGGACAATGGGAGCAAATACATGCGAACACCACCACCTGCAAGTTCCCATCCCAGCCACACACCACCTCGACTTGGAAATATATCACATATTGCTTCAGTGTCGCTGGGTCAAAATTCTTGAGAATTCCCTCCCTCAGGCTATTGTGGATCAGCATACAGCACATGGACTACAGCCGTTCAAGAAGGCAGCTCGTCACCACCTTCTGAAGGGCAACAACGGATGGTCAATAAATGCTGGCCAGCCAGCCAGCCACATCCGCGTCCCACAAATGAATGTTTTTTTTTAAAAAAAGCAACAGGGCACAGAATTAAAGCAATCAGTAGAAACAGAAAAAGTGCTCTGAGGAAAAGCTTTTTTCACACAGTGAGTGGTAAGGATCTGGAATGCCCTGTCTAAGAGTGTGGTGAAAACAGGTTCAAATTAGGTGTCAAAAAAGAGACAGTTATCTGACAAGGAAGAACTTGTAGGGATATGGAATAAAGGAAAGGGAATGGCACTAGGTCAGTTGCATATTTGAACAGCCAAGGTAGACTCAGTAGACTAGTAGACACAGCTTCCTTCTGTGCCATAGAAATTTTGTGGATTCTGTTACTATATAGTATAGTCTGTTTCTGTTCAAAAAATGAGAAATCTTGTGGCATAATTAATGTTCAAATTTCGCTCTAAATGTCGACAGTCTTTACGGGGGTTATAATACTGATTTCTCACATTCCAACCTCCAAAAACTTGAAGTTATCCAAAACCCAGATTTCTGTGTTTTAACTCACACAAAGTCTCACTCACTTATATCTCCAGTGCTTGCTGACCCACACTGGCTCTTTGTCTAAAAATGTTATGATTTTAAAATTCTCTTTATTGCTCTCAAATCCCTCCACGGCCTCACCTTTCTATTTCTCTATAATCTTTTTAGTGACATAATTTTCCAAGTTTTCTATGCTTATCTAGTTCTGTATTCTTGAGCATCCTCAATTTTAATCATTTCACCATTGGTGGCTCTGTATGAAGTTGCCAAGACCCCAAATTCTGGATCAGCCACCCTTCAACTTTCCACCTGCCTACCTTTTCTTCCTGCTTTCACTCATTAATTAAACCCTATCTCCTTGACCAAGCATTTAGTCACTAGGTCTAATAATTGAATAATTGAAATCTTCTGCATTTAGGGATAGGCAACAAATGTCAGCCTTGCTGGTGACACCCATATCCCATCAAAGGATTGTTAAAAATGTAGTTCAGTGTAACACTTTGTTTCTAATGCTCCTGTAATGGACCTTGAGACATTTCACTTTGTTAAAGGTTCTAATGAATTTGAGATGTTGTTGTTTTAATTACCCTCATGCTGGTCATTTCAGAAACCAGCAGTAAGTTGAAGTATTAAATTTAATGTTAGTTTGTAACATAGCTTGGAAGGAAGTATTACTACTGCCTGAGTTAATGAAGTTTTTCTTTAAGTTTTTTTATACTGTGACTGTTATGATGAGAACTATTGTGTTTCATGGCACATAGTTAAGTGGCCCACTTTAAAAATAAGTTTGAACACTTCTGGTTTCAATATTTAAGATAATGCTAAAACATTTGCATATTAGAGCAAAAGAATTTGGAATATCTCCGATCAGGCAATATCCATGAGGAGGAGAAGGTAGAGCTAACTTTCATCTGATAAATAGATCTTGATATTTGTTCAACTAGCAATATCAATTGTAACAAAGTTATAGAAAACATCCCACAAAAAATGTTTCAAATCTTACAATAACTTCCTTTCTATCAGTATTCTGTATCTATCAGTTGCCTTTTTTGGAACTAGTTCTGGTAAAACTTTCTACTTTATTTCATGAAGTATGATTCAGGAATTGCGATTCTGTGCATTCCCAATATGTGTCAGTTTCTATTTTTTAAAAAATCACCCACTTTCAATGTATAACTGACCCAGTGACACTACACAAAGAACAACCAAAGAGTTTCGTCAAAATTCATTCCTGATCAGTAATGATCCCTCAATCCAACATCACAAAATAAAGCAGATTGTCTGGCTATTATCTAATATTTATATGTGAGTTCTTGCTATGTACAAATTGGCTGCTGTGTCTTACTTTGTCGCAGTGATTATTCTTCAAGAGTTCTTATCAGGTTGTAGAACATTTTAGAATATTCTGAAGTGGTGTGAGGGGTACTTAATTGCAAGCCTTTCACTATGCAAGTTTATATAATTGAGAATAGCATGGATAGAGTGGTAAGTATGAGGCTTTTTCCCTGGGTAGGGGGGTCAATGACTAGGGGACACAGGTTCAAGGCGCAGGTGGGGCAGGAGTTTGCAAAAGATGTGCAAAGTAAGTTTTTCACACAAAGGGTGGTGAACGCCTGGAATGCCCTGCCAGAAGAAGTGGTGGAAGCAGATATGACAGCAGCACTCAAGAAGCACTTGGACGAATACATGAATAGGAAGGGAATGCAGAGATATGGATCCTGTAAGGCTAGACAGGTTCAGTACAGATAGGTAAAATGTGTCCCAGGCTTGAAGGGCTGAAGGGCCTGTTCTGTGTTATATTGTTCTTTGTATATACAGTTGAACAGAGATTGTGTATTTACCTAAGTTTAAATGTAACATGTTGCGTTTATTGATGGTTACTTTTATTTAAGAAGACTTGATTTAACACATTGTTCTTATTCCTGTATTCTTGTATTTTTAACAGCAGCATGACTGGTTGCCACTGGTGAAATAGTAAACCCTCTGTCAACGCCAAAAAGGCTACGAACTTAATTGTTGAATGCCATTGTCTGGGAATTGATGGAAGACTAAGGAATTATCGGCGCGTGGCAATAATGAAGATTTAAACTATGTCGAAATCAAAAGTGAGGTGGATGTACTTGTTTTTGGAGTAACACCGCCTCTTGGAAATGGACAGGAGTTCTTAGCTATGCGCTGGGTAGATTGTTGGAATATTACCTTTCGAACGTGCGAATAATCTGAATTTGTTTCGATTTAGTCATAAACATCATGCAACCTCTACGTTTAAAATAACGTAAAGACCAAGGGTCTTGAAAGCACCTGGTGACGATTACTTGTGAAACAAGGTGATCTTTTGCAAAAAGCATCTGGAAATGGTGTGTCAGTATGATCGGAGCATTAAGTCTGACGAATAACATTCACACCTTCTCAAAACAAAAACAACTGCTACCCTTTACCAAAACAAGTTCTATCTTTTCAAAATAATGTTTTCTTTGGTGGGGCAAGTTTGGCGTCCGACACGTTTATCCAAACATTTCCAAACTGGGAGATACGTCTGTAGTTAAATCTGAGGCCAGCCCATGTGTGCATTTATTTTCTTACCTCAATGAGTGCGTCAAGTTCCCCGGGGTTCACACAGGGGTGATTTCGCAGGAAACTAGATTTCTCTATCGTGATCTTATGCTTCTGTTTGCTTTCGAAAGGTTTTTCCAAAGCTCGGAACACCGTGCCTCCGATCACCAAGTAAAGGACAACGACCACGAAGATAGCCAGCACCGTTTTCCACTTCATGACTGTGGGCGAAGACTGAGGGCCACTGTCCATGCTAGCTACCACCGTGGTCCTGGAGGATATGGACAGCCTGGGCACCGGGTAGTGCCCGTTGGTCTTTGGATCACAGGCTTGCACTGTGGATTGGACACCGACTGAAACAAAAACAACTGAAGAGTAACTCTGATCCCAGCGTGGAGAGAGGACAAACCTATAGCCCTGTGCACTAAAGGAGGACATTTGCGGCTTGAACTGTCAGTCTGACATCATTTTAAGATACATAATAACTTCATATTTTCCTTTCGAGTCTGACCTTGTAATCAGATGCTTCCTGGAGGTGTGCGGATCAGTGAAACGCCCTGTTTAAATTGTGTGCGAATCAGCCCTTTCAGGTTGGCTCTGTACAATATGTCAGGCAGAAGTGTTGCTGTCGCTGGAGTAGTATTTTCATAGGTTTAAACAGGGGCGTGCCGTCAGCGCTCCCTCGTGTCGGTCATGTTATTCCGTGCCGTTTCTCGTCGAATGAGTTACTTCTAGTCAGGGTGCAGTGTGTGTGTGTGTGGAGCCGGCCACTGCGCCAATGTGTGGGGTAAATGTACCCAGTACTGCAGAGCATTGAGGCAGACGAGTGCCTCTCCTCTACAGAATTCAAAATGCCTTTCCACCCTGAACTACACCTGTACCTTCCCAACCAAAATAATGTCCATTGACTTGCAATGAGAGCAACTGACAATACTAAATGTGCCTGAACTGATTACAAAAGGTCTATTTTGGTCAGATTCTAATTTATTTGAATACATAAGGTTATATCTATGCGGTATTGTTTTAATGTCCATTAATGCGATGGGTGACTGGAGACAGCAGCAGTGGCTTAGAATCGTTCTAAACGTATACCGAAACTGGCATCTTGAGTAGGGTTACCGGAAACGGTCGATTCATTCGGCATGCACCGAAACGACAGCGTCTAGGCAACACTCCACTCGTGGTCGTGGCTAACTAATATAGCCTGTAACGCGGACCCAACCCGTCAGGCGAGCGCTGAAAGCAAAAAATGCTGGAGATTACAGCGGGTCAGGCAACATCCATGGAGAGAAAGCAAACAGCTGGCTGCAAAAAAGTCTGTTTAGATATTTGCATTCAAGCCATAGGGAAATGAGCAGATTTGATGAAGAAGAGCTTGAGTCTGTTTAGGAGAAATTAAAAGCTGTTGGAATGATGTCATTTATTGCTGGAGCAGTTGATATGGCTAATACCGTACATCCATCCAACAGTTTTGCATCGGAGAAGTCTTGCCAGTGAATGTTTTGAAATTGTTGAGCTCCTGTATGTACTGCAGTGAAAGAACCATTTTCACAAAACACCTCAACGGCAATATTGCAAGGCAGCAAACAGGGGAGAGCGAATGGGGAGACGGTTAAAGCTGAAGAGGTATAAACATATTAGTTCCCCGTTTTAATATGTCAATGACATACAGTAGTCTCAACAACATTATCTATCGAGCAATAGCGAGGTTTTTTTGTTCATTCCTTCCCGCCGCAGCAGACTGCGGGTTTTTGTTGTGTGATCCTGTCCATGCAATAATGTAAAAAAACCAAGCAGCCACATACGTTCACCACAGCTGTACTAGTAATCGGAACCAATATTTAAATCAAAATGGTAATGAAATGAAAAAAGAAAGCGGGTGAAATAACTGGTATTCCAGAAATGCAATTTAGAATGAATAAAGACTGGTATATTCAAAGTAAGCTTTCTATTCAAATCTAAGTCATACAGCCAGACACCCTGGTGTAACTGCTCAGTTAACAGTGCAGCATCATATCATAATGGTATTTGTCAGACGCTGGACTGGGAACCTCAATAAACGAATTCTCGTTTGTAAATAGAGGAGAAACGACAAAAAAAAGGTTTGGCCATCAAAGGGCAACAGTTCCCATGATTGTCTACCGCTTTGTTTATGCACATATACCTGAACGATATACCGAGTACTAACCCCATGGGTAAACACTATTCAATTCGTGGAAAATAACACACACATACGCATACTCAAATTCTTACTCTAATACAGCTACGAACCTGGAGGGTCACAACTAGTGTGTTTTCTTGACGATTCTATTGGAAATTTCATCTTCGATCGCCAAAACCTTTTCTTTCCTTGCATTCGCAAATTGCAGTCAGTTATTCGGAATCTGCGTACTTAAGATAAAAGGCCATCCTCTCGGGTTAACATTTCACGTAAGCGCGTTTTATTCCAAGCCCGTCGACCAAAGGAAAATTGGATTTCTAAAATATGTATTCAAGCGAAATTCCTAAGCCGGGCTGGGGCTCAGCGACACCAGAAAGGATTTGTGCATGAATGATCTCACACTGCAGAGTGCAGAACGAATTGCATGCGTCCGCCTTGCATATGGCAATTAAAACAAAAGTAGATTGTCTGTGGAGACCATTGCAGGTCTTGCTTCCGATAGTGGCTGAGTTGTTTTTTCTGGCTGGAGATGAACGCTGTGTGTGGCCGTGTCGTGTTGTTAGGTGGAGTTGTGAGTCAGAAGACACCCTTGGATTGTCGGCACATGGCACTGTCCTGCGACAAGCGGCAGCCAGCTCATCACACATTCCCCACACACAGACAGATGGAACAAACAACCAACATTCGGACAACAGGAGGGGACCCTTTCTAGGGACGCGATTGTTTACACTACTCGATTGCTCCTGTATTGGTTGAAATATGGGTGTAGATGTTCACATCTCTTTGGGAAATCAATGCAGAAACATTACTTTGGATCTTTGGTCCACCGTAGGAGCTGGTTGTGTGGTATCATTCCACTATGCAGATGTTGACAACCTGCACGCAACAATTTGTTTCAACAGACCACTTCTTACTTAATGTGTATCGTGCTAGTCAATCTCTAATATTCCTATACTTGAAAAGTTTTTATTCTATAAACACATATGAATATTATAATGTATCGTTTTTATAAATTGGATCCGGAATATGAATACATGCTGAAACAGCTGGTGTGTGTAATGTATAGGTCATGCTGACAAACATCCCATACGTTTACGTTCAGGCGTGGCTGTGCTACAAGTAAATACAAGGGACAAGGGAACAGGATCGTGTGGCACTTAGCCGCTCAACTGTTGATTGTATTTCACATTACTTCATCGCACTGCACCGCCACGATATTCCGGAACCTGTGCGGAATGTCAATAACCGTGTTTTCATTTGCAACCACTGCTTACACCGACTGAGCCATCGGCTCTTCCGGGGATACAGCCACAACAAAAGATAGGGCGGCGCTTTCGGCCACTTCGACAACAGAAAGTTTTTTTTTAAAAATGGGCGCGTCTGGGAAACTGAGATAACAAGGTGTAGAGCTGGATGAACACAACAAGCCAAGCAGCATCAGAGGAGCAGGAAAGCTGACGTTTCGGGCCTCGACCTTTCTTCAGAAATGGGGAAGGGGGTTCTGAAATAATCCCCTTAACTGATTCGTTTGACCCGTTCTAAAAGGCGTTAATAAACGCAGCCTTTTATAAATTGTTAATGTAAGGCGTACGCAATAAGGGAAAATACAATCTGGGTAGAGTCCAAACGAAATCAGCAGTTCTGAGGAAGTGTCACCGGACCCGAAACGTTAACTCCAGTTTTCTCCTTCACAGATGCTGCCAGACCTGCTGAGCTTTTCCAGCAACTTTGTTTTCGTTCAACAGTACTTAACTCGGATATGCCGCTAAAGTACTGTGGCAGTAGTCAATGGTTGGCAAGAAGTTCGCCCATCCTTTGGTTCCAATGCACTTGCTATTAAAACTACAGCATCTCTTTCGTCGCAGTTTTTTTGTCAACCCTATATCAATTAACCAACACCTTCATACGCTAAAACTGAACACAATATCTTAAACATTCTGGTCCTGCACTTTGTCAATTTTGGTATCTGTAGGTTTGTATCTTATTGTTCGAGAAATACATCTTGAAACAACATTTGCAGTTCCAACAATCTTGTCTAACTTTTTTTCAGCCACAATAACCGTCAGGGCAGTAGATGGCATAGAGGTATTGTTGCTGGCCTAGTAAGCCAGAACACTGCTTTGGGAACTCAGTTTGTATCCCATCAAAGGTGATCAAATTGAGTTTTGAGAGAAACCATTATTGTAAAAATCCCTGTTACCTTTCACCACGCTCTTTGGAAAGAAGTCTGTTATCCTTATCTGATCTGGTCTACATATGACTCTAGATTCACAGTAATGTGGTTGACTCTTAGTCACCCTCTGAAATAGCACAATAAGCAGCTCAGTTGTATCATAAGAGAAATGAAATGGGGCAGCTGACTTGGCATTGACCAAGGCATTAGAAATGACAACATTGACTCTGCAAAGTTCCTCTGGGAATTTAGTACAAAAATGGGGAGAGATGACTCACAAACTAGTCAAACAACGACCTGACACACATACTTATGGAATCATAGCTTTACAGAGAATGTCCCAGACACTACTGGTGCACAGGATTGACCCAGCAGTTATGCCAGTTCATTGATATGTAGTTGAGAAGGAATGACCTGGGAGTGGAGTCCTCAACATTGTCCCTGGACCCTGTGAAGTCTCATGGCATCAGGTCAAAGATAGACAAGGAAATCTCATTCAATCCCCTTCAAGCTTCACATTGAAAATATCCTTTATCATTTTGTGCGGCCTAACAACTCAAGACTGTGCATCCAATCAGTCCTGTGGGTCATCAAAACCAGCAGAGTTACATTCAAACATGATCTGAAACCTGAAACAGTTGGCATATACCCCCCACTGTACCATAACCATCAAGCCAGGAGATCAAATCTAGTTCAATGAAGAGTGAAGGAGGACATGACATGATCAGCAACAGGCATATCTAAAAATCAACTGACTGAAGCTATAGCACAGGACCACTTGCAACACAGTAACACTTGAATACCAAACAGCACAAGCAGCAAATACACATGAATTGTGGTGTATGATGAAACAATTTAATAGAGAAGGCTTCACAAATATTCCAATCCTCAAAGAGTGGGAGCCCAGTACAACAGTACAAATGCTAAGGCTGAATCATTCGCTACAATCTACAGCCAGAAGTGCTAAGTGGATGAATCATCTCCATCTCTTCCAGGGGTTCCCAGCATCACAGTCACCAGTCTCTAGACAATTTAGTTCATTGTATGTGAAATCAAGAAGTGGCCAAAGGCACTAGGTACTGGAAAGGCTACAGGCACTAACAACATTCAAGCAACAGTACTGAAGACTTGTGCTCTAGAACTTGCCATGCTCTAGCCAAGCTATCCACAACAGCTATGACACTGAAATCTACCTGACAATGTAGAAAGCTGCTTACATATATCCTGTACACAAAAAGTAGGACCAATGC